CTCCACAGTTCAACCGGAATCTCGTCTGGCCCGGTAGCTCTGCCCCTTCTCATCTTACGCATTGCCTCCATGACTTCATCGATCTCAATGTCCCTACAATTACTTACTTCATGGTGACTGTCGGCATTCCTCGATTCCCCAAGTATAATATCCTGATCCCCTTCTTCACTTAGAAGTTTATGAAAGTAGGTCTGCCACCTCCTCTTAATCTGGTCATCTCCCATCAAAACTTTGCCGTCATCATCTTTTATGCACCTCACTTGGTCCAGATCCCGAGTTGTCCTCTCTCTCGCCTTAGCGAGTCGGAATAATTTCTTCTCCCCACCTTTGTTCCTTAGCTCCTCATACAGACGAGCAAAAGCTGTCGTTTTAGCCTCTGTCACTGCCATCTTCGCCTCCTTCCTAGCTACCTTATACCTTTGACTGTTCTCTCTCTTCTCCTCCTCGTCAGTGCTCCCTACTAACCTTAGGTAAGCCGCCTTCTTTGCTTCCACTTTACCTTGGACAACTAAATTCCACCACCAATCTCCTTTGTGTCCACCATAGTGTCCCGCAGATATCCCTAACACCTCCCTCGCCGCCTTTCTTAAGCAAAAATCGACCCTCTCGTGTGAGATCCTCCTTGAATATTTTGTGCACAGGGACCCAAGTAGGGGTCCCCTTGGCTATCACAGATTCTATACAACTACGCTCATTCTCCCGGTTTACCCATTTAGCGGCATACTCAGTTGTGCCCGGGCTCCAGTCAGGGATGTAAAACTCATTGATGGTGTCACTACTACAGAACATGCTCTTCCCCGAACTAATACAGTGTCACAGAAAACCCTGTTGCGCTTGTGGTGAGCAGTCCTGGAGGCTCCATATGCGGCATAAAACTCAAGGACAAGGGTTTCATTATACTCATTAGGCAGCTCAGTGAAGCACTCCCATTTTCTTGCCTTGATGTTCTCCCAAATGTGGGGGTACTGCTTTTGTAGCCCATTCAAACTCAATTGTTTTTTGTCCAGGATTTTTCATTTGGTTAGCCCTTCTCTATAAAGCTCCCTGAACCCTTCGACCCCAAACTTGAGATGGAAGTCATCTCCTCATTTCCTTCTTACCTCAGCTTATAGGTCAACTTAGGGCAATGTTTCCTCCTCATCAGACTGGGAGGGAAGTGTAGCAGTAGGGTCCGGTCGCGAATGTTTTGCTTGTTGAGTTTGACGACTGGAGGAGTCCCTTTTCTGGGCAGAGGCTGTATGTTTCTTCGGACCCATATCTGCACAGAAATGAAACGCGAGCAACATGGTAGGCAAAAATGAAAAGAAAATAGAAAAACTCAAGAAAAATTTAAGAATGCGACAGGTTATGCGGTCACATAACCACTATGCGGACCATAGACTTGTCGCAAACTCTTAGGCTATTCAAATGATCTAAGTATGTGATGGGTTATGCGATCGCATAACCATTATGCAGTTCGCATAACCATCACATACTTGTTTGCTCAGAAAACAAAATCACAAAATGCGATCGCAAAATCCACCGCAAAGTTGGATATGCGATTGCAAAATGGCCGCAAACAACATGCTATAAAACTGGGTAGTCTGCCTCAGTATGCGGTGACTTTGTTGTCCCGTATCAATTATGCGATCGCAAATTTGTCGCATTTTGTCGTCTTCTTTAGCCAGCTAGGGTTCGTTTTTGCGGCAAAAATACAGACCACATTTTGATTATGCGAGCCGCAAAACTCATCGCTCCCAACGATTGAACTTAACCCTCAACAATGGCGGACCTAATTTTTACTACCCAGCACCCAAAAACACACTACATAACCAAAATCACAAAGGAATATGCACAGAGACCCAACTACACAGAGGAACAATGAACAAACTAGAGGAAACACAAAATAGAAAAACACAATACAATTTAAACTAACAATTTACATGGAACAAAGCGGGAAAGGAAGTACATACCAGTGATAGATGAAGAGCACACTTGGGAGATGAATTCTCAGGTGATTTCTTACTTACATAGATTCAACTAGCCGTTTTTCCCTTCTCTTTTGTTTTTTTCGTTCTATTTTGTTTTTCTTTTTTTTTTTCTTCTGATAAAAAATAATTTATTTTTTTGTTTTGTTTTGGGTGTGAATGTTTGAATTGATGCGAAGGACGTACCAGAGAGAATTGTGATGGGTAAGTCACCGCATAACACATTATGTGACTATATAAACATTATGCGGTGGATTCAATTGAGTTTCTGGAGGGCAAAAAATGCGATGCACTATGCGATCGCATAGTAGAAATGCGGCCCACAAAGTGCACCTCCTTGTCACATTCTTGTCACCAATTTTTGCCAAACTCACTGCCTGGGTTTGCGACCACAATGCGGTCCGCATAGTGAAAATGCGACCGCATATGTGTAGCAAACTTCCTAAGGTGATTTTTCTTCCCTTTCCCATGCAATCTTACCCCGTGTTATGATCTTGTGAATCCCCTGCACTCTAACACAAACTTTAAATTTCTCAACTAAAGCTATCTAACAAAAATTAAAAATTTAAAGGACAAAAAGGGTTTTACCACACATGGGTTGCTCCCATGAAGCGCTTGATTTAACGTCGCGGCACGACGAAGTTGGCATTCCTTTGGATTCACTCATTGGTCGAGCACAGACTATCTTTGAGAGCCAACTGCTCCACCAAATGTTTTTTTTTCATTTGTGCCCAAGTAGTTCTTCACTCGCTGGCCATTCACTTTGAAGGTTCGGAGCCCATCCTCCGATTCTAGTTCCACAGCTCCAAAAAAAGAGACATTTACCACCTTAAATAGACCGGACCATTTTGATTGAGCTTGCCTGGAAATAATTTGAGCCTTGAGTTAAAGAGCAAAACCAAGTCACCCGACTTGAACTCCCTCTTCAAGATCTTTTCATCGTGGACGAACTTCATCCTTTCTTTATACATAGCTGCACTTTCATATGCATGGAAATAGAATTCCTCCATTTCATTGAGTTGTGTTAACCTCAAATTTGCAGCTTCAGCCCATTCCAAGGTCAACCTCTTCAGAGCCCACATGGCTTTGTGTTCCAGTTCTACGGGTAGATGACAAGCTTTGTCGAAGATTAACCGATAAGGAGAAGTGCCAATAGGAGTTTTGTATGCCGTGCCTGTTTGCATTAACAGTCTTTGCTAGAATGCTCTTTATCTCCCTGTTGAAAACTTCAACTTGGCCACTTGATTGGTGATGGTAAGGTGTGGCCACCTTATGCTTGACGTCATATTTCTCTAGTAGCCCCATGAAAGCCTTATTATAGAAATGAGACCCACCATCACTAAGAATGGCTCTAGGAGTGACAAATCAAGTGAATATGTTTTTCTTTAAGAATGCGGTCACACTTCTTGCCTCATTATTTGGTAAGACAATTGCTTCAACCCATTTGGACACATAGTCTACAGCTACCAAGATATATTTCATCCTACAAGAGCTTACAAAGGGACCCATAAAATCAATTCCCCACACGTCGAAGATTTTTATCTCCATCACAAAGTGCATTGGCATTTCATGCCTCTTGGAGATTGATCCTTGTCTTTGGCATTGGTCACAAGCCTTGACCATTTGATTGGCATCATGATAGATCGACGACAAATAATAACCATATTCTAGCACCTTAGCTGCCGTTCAATTTCCCCCATGGTGACCCCCAACCGGCGAGTCGTGGCATCCCTTTAGAATTGGCATAATCTCTTCTTCTGGAACACACCTTCTGATGATATTGTCAGCATAAACATGGAATAAGAATGGTTCTTCCCAATAGTATTGCTGACAGTCTCTCAAAAACTTCTTCTTTTGACAGGATTCCAATACATCCAGAATAAGGTCACTAACTAAATAGTTAGCAATATTGGCATACTAAGGAGAAAAAGTGCTAGATAGTGCCAATATGTGTTCATTTGGGAATGCATCATTGATTTCAAGATCTCCCTTTGGTCTCCCTGCCTCTTCAAGCCTTGATAAATGATCTGCTAATTTATTTTGAGTTCCCTTGCGATCCTTGACTTTGAAGTCAAATTCTTGCAATAACAAGACCCACCGAATTAACCTAGGATTTGCATCCTTCTTTGCTATGAGATAGCAAAGATCAGCATGATCTATGTACACTATCACCTTGGATCCCAACAAATAAGCCCGGAACTTCTCAAAGTCATATACAATGGCAAGAAGTTCTTACTCAGTCACCGTATAATTCATTTACGCTCCATTGAGTGTCTTGCTTGCATTATAGACCGGGTGGAGAACCTTGTTGTAACGTTGGCCAAGCATTGCTCCAATAGCTACACCACTAGCGTCACATATAAGCTCGAATGGAAGAGACCAATCGGGTGTGACAATAATAAGTACCGTGGTGAGTTTTTGCTTTAGTTCCTCAAAGACATTGAGGCACTTCTCGTCAAACACAAATTTTGCATCTTTCTCAAGGAGTTTGCACATAGGATTTGCAATATTGGAAAAATACTTGATGAAACACCTACAGAACCCAGCATACCCCAAGAAACTTCGAACACCTTTAACAAAAGTAGGTGGAGGAAGCTTGGAAATAATCTCGATCTTTTCCCGGTCAACCTCTATGCCATGTTTTGAAATTTTATGCCCCAATACAATGCCTTCATCCACCATGAAATGGCATTTCACCTAGTTGAGCACAAGGTTGGTCTCTTCACATCTCTTAAGCACTTGTCTAAGATTGTTAAGACAGTGCTCAAAAGAGTCACCTACCACCGAGAAGTCGTCCATGAAAACCTCGAGAAAATCCTCCACCATGTCGGAGAAAATGGACATCATGCATCTTTGAAAAGTAGCTACAGCATTGCACAAACCAAATGGCATCTGACTAAAGGCAAAAGTTCCATAAGGGCAAGTGAATGTCATCTTCTCTTGATCCTCCAATGCTATGTTGATTTGGTTGTAGCCGGAATATCCATCAAGAAAGCAATAGAATGATCTTCCCGCTAGCCGATCAAGCACTTGATCAATAAAAGGCGTAGGGAAATGGTCTTTGTATGTGGCACTATTAAGCTTCCGATAATCCATGCACACCCTCCATCCGGTCACCGTTCTTGTTGGGATGAGCTCATTTTTATCATTTTCAATCACGGTCATGCCTCTCTTTTTCGGCACACATTGCACCGGGCTCACCCAAGAACTATCAGCAATAGGATAGACTACCCCGACAACCAACTACTTGATGATTTCTTTCTTTACCACCTCTTGCATAGACGTGTTCAATCGTCATTGGTGTTCCACACTTGGTTTTGTCTCACTCTCCAATTGGATCTTGTGTTCTCAAATTCCAGGGGAAATCCCTCGGATGTCCGCGATGGTCCATGTAATAGCTTGCCTATGCTCCCTCAAGACTTCCAACAATTGTTTTATGTCGCGCCCCCTTTTTCTCGCGAAATCGGGTTTATGACATTTGGGAGGACAACTCGTTCCCTTTTGGGAATTGGGTTTTTTGATTTGAAGAGTCGCCACCTAATGATTATGTGCATTAGGACACTAGGAAGAATTTGTTTAGAAAAACCAGAGTTTGAGTAAGGGCTAGAAATTATCTCGAGGGAAAGGTGCTAGGCACCTCTAAAGATCCACTAATGTGGTTCCCGGCCATGCTACAATTATGACTTAAGTACAAACAATAAATAAGCAAATAAGGGTTTCAAAAATGAGGGGTTGTCACATTGTGATTGCAAATAAGTTAAAGTTTGAAGAAACAAGGAAGCTGAAATTTGAGAAAAAGGAGTTTTGAAATTTTGAAAGTAATAAAATAAACAAGTAAAGGGAAGGGGGTCCTAGGTTTATAAATAATATGGATCACATCAATGCAATACCTGGTAATCACTTCTCAGAAGAGGGGTTACACGTGGTATTAGCGCACTGGTCATCATATCCATATCTACCCTTTCCCATCCCGTTGAGGTATTAAACGCGGAATGGTTTCGTTTACTTATTGCATGCTAGTACCCGCCCCAATCATATCAGTCCCGGAGGCATTTGGGACTAAACAAAAACACATAAGGCAGATATGGGAAACACATAACGATTTAAAAGGCTCAGACAAGCCTCCTCACTTAAAAATAGATTGTTTAGCATGTCTTGCAGATATTGGTTATGGTCTGAATTAAACTTAAATGTTAAGGAGGCAGACTGGTCTATTACACATTTCAGAGAAAAAACCAGAATCAGACCTACCTGCTGGTAGGAATTAACAGAGTCTGATTCAATTAGCTAATTTACCTTATAGCTTGCTTAGGTGAAACCTATAGGCATGATATCTAAATACAAGAGAAAGATACTGATTTCAGAAGAAGATTTGTTAACAGCAGGAACATAAGTTCTGCAAGCATTTAAGCTATGCTATTACTGATTTTAAACTTATAGGCAAGTTGATGGATTCAGATTAGTTGCTTATTCCTATGGGCATTCTTTCTAAGTGTGACTGATTTTAACCTTTACGAAAATGAAGAAATCCTATAGGCATGGCGTCTAAAATGCTGATTTTTATTATTTAAGCCTATATATCTTTTGCCTAGTGATGGATACGTATGCAGTATTCAGAAACCCTATGGACATGCTTTCTATATGACAGGCAAAACGCAGAATTCTATAGTCATGTTCTCTATATGAGATGCAGAAATGCAAAAGTTAGTGATATGATATATATGCAGAACTTATAGGCAGGATTTCTAAGATGCAAAAGTGCAAAACCTAAAACAGGATTTCTATATGAAAATGTAGAAGTGCAGAACCTAAAACAGGATTTCAAAGATGCCGAATGCAGAACTTGCCATGATTTGCAGAAATAAAGACCTAATAAGCATGATATCTACCCTTATGCATACATGAGTACCCCTCCCTATTCACTATAAGCCCCCATGAGTTAATTACAAATTATGACAGCCCAGAATGAAGAAAAGAAAGTAAAAATTACATCAGAAAGATAAAATCCCAACCAAGGAGAGCCTGATTCAGACTTCTGTTTGAAGCATGAACTAAACCAACTCCAAAGATCAAATTCCAAAGCCTTTCTCCTATTTGGGATGTGTCATAGTTCCCTAAGAGTCTCAAGTGGACTCCGGGCAGTGCTTACACCCAAATATATTGCAGAATTGGATTATAGTGCAGTGTGGAAGGCCCCCCCCTCAAATGTCCAAGTTCAGAGGGAGCTCAAGGTCCCAAAACAAGGCTCATAGGAAGGGGGAAGAACTTAGAATCTAAGAGAGAGTGCAAGTGCATAGAGGGGATTTTGGGGAAGGCCAAGACAGGCTGGTGGTTATATTCAGCAATTAGGAGTGTTGGCACACCCTTAACCAGCCTGTTAGACACATTGTTTGGGAGTTAGGATCCATTAAAAGATCAGGTCCAGACATGAGCAGAAATTTGGATACTGCCATGCCTGAACCTTAACTCAAACACGTAGAAGGGAATAAGGGTATGGGGAATTCACACAGCAACAGATGCAAAGAAAACATTATATTCAATACAGAACATAAACAACAAAGTAGATAAGATTGTTGAAACTGTAAAGCAAACACATAGGGATGAAGCCAAAAGTTGAATTAGAACATACCGGGTTCAAGGAAATAAGAAGAGAAGAGCAGTAGTAATGCCAAATTGCAAACACACAGCCAGAAGATTTCAAAAGAGAGTGGAGTGTTGAATTGAGAATGTAGGAGTATTGAAATTGAAAGTGTTCAATAAGTGTTGTGTAAGTGTTGAACTCAAGGTCTTAAAGAGTATTGAATTAGAAGTGTCCCAAAAGTGCAGAAGGGTCGTGCCCTTTATAGTGCAGAAAGCAAGTAAGAAAAAGATAAGAAAATAGTTTCGAAATCAATCACATCAGGTCTCCCTTCAATTAAGGGATTCTGATTTCAAACGGGCAAGATAATTAAGGAAAGAGTTTGATCAAAATAATTTTCAAAGTAGTACAAGAAGGGCAGATTCACAGAAACTATTTAAGGAAAGAGTTTGATATCAACATGGTTTGTGCAAAGAAGGAAAGACAATCAATCAACAATCAGTAAAAATCAGAAATTGAGTTTTGGTATGAATGAATCCAACCAGAAAAGGTGAAGAAAGGTTTAATTAAAGAAAAATCAGTAACAATAAATCGATCCTTATTAAA